ATCAAAAAAATTTTAAAGGAAACATTTAGCGTTTTATAGAATACTTTACAGCGTGTGACTACTAACTAGTTAACTTTATATGCCCTTGACACTCTGCCTACACCTTTTGCTGTGTACTACCATAGCCAGTTTATAATAATTTTAATCTTTGAAATATGCAAATAATTAATAGAATATTATAATTTAATTAACTCCTTGGGAATTAAATATGTCGTATAACATTGAAATGAGAATTTTAAAAGATTCTAAAATTCATCCAAACAGTGCCAGTTAATATTAAAAACGGAGCATTATTGCATATAACACGTACATATCTACGTGTTTCAGTATTTGATAAATTAACAAAGGAAAAAAAAACAATAGTAATGTAAGCGGTGCGGTGAGTAGTGGCTGTCATTGTACTGTTATCGGCGGCACCGAGCCTGGCAGTGAATAATTTGAATGCGCAAAAATGTCTAATGAGCTTAAATTACGACTACTGCTTCCTAACCAAACGGCCTACGTTGTAATCTTATTAGTTTACCTAAATTAACAACTAATTTTTCCTATGGTTTAACGTAAGATTAAAATGGACTTAAGGGAGTTAGGTTGGAATTTTTTTATCGACACTTTACATGTTGTATGTTTTACAATCTGTAAATAGTTATTTATTTAAAAAATAAAATTATAACTCAATGATATTTTGTTCAAAGTTAAAACAAATGATAGTTAAAAACTACTTTAACATAGTATAACCAATTAATTGACAATTAATATTTTTATTTACCTTTATTTCAGAATTCCTGTGACAACAGTCAGATAAACACGAGCCCATTCTAATATCAAAACAAATCGACAAACGTTTACTTGTAGACATGTTATAAAGTGATTGAACTTATTTTACAATACACAATGTTTCTTCAATAATCCCACATTCAAGTTGTGACACGTCTGATCCTGGAACTGTTTTCCCGGTATTTTTTCATTTTTAATTTCAGTGACAAAAGTCGTGAACATTCTGCCACTGACAACTAGTTTAATTTTCTGTTGAAATTGATTTTGCTATGTTATTGAAATTACGTAAAACGTACAACAACAAAAAAACATTGATATGTAAATTAATGCTCTCTTTAGAAATACGGAAGTAGACACGTCGTATGATTTTAAAAGTACATTTTGCCTGTGTCTCATTGGGTGTATTATATTGTACTTTAGCCCATTTTTTTACTAGCTTGACTAGAGACTACTAAATAGTGTATAGTAAATAGAAATCAATAAGGAGGTTATTCATGATCCAAAACCGAACTATCATAGAAATTTCAGCCAGAATACCGAGGTTAGTCGCTTAGTAGAGGTCTGAAAAAATGTAGTGAACATACTCTAAACATATCTGGCGAGGCGGTGCCGGCGGAGGAGCCGCTGGCGCCATCAGCCTGTGCGGCGCGGTGCTGCCCCTGGCACTCCGCGGTCAGCGTCTCGCGGTCGTCTGCCACATCGCACACGCGGTCGTCCGGGTCCAAGATCCCTCCCGAGCTTGCGCGTATTGCACGCACACCTACCCATGTCTCTGGTCCCTGGAAAGTAAATAAAAAAAAATTAAAACAACCACTTCACGATATAGAAAGTTAATCTTAGTGTTAATTGCAGATAGTTAACTGTAACGCCCACATATAAATCGTTGTGCCTACATAAACAAGTATAACAATACCGTGAAGATTCACATCGTTGTTGGTTTAGCGAATTTAAATAGTTTTTATCATGCTATGAAATTAAACTCGAGGCATATGTGAAAACGTTCCCACGCCTTATTTGCGCCTTTCAATTCATTCAATGGCGTTGAACATCATGTATGTCGATACGTTCTTCAGGCCTTTTGTCTGCTCATCAACCATTTTGTTGTCCTGTCCGCGAACCTTTGTGCGCATCACATCGCTAGCTCTGAACGATGTCAGCCGCTGTCAGTATATTATGTAGACTTGAAATTAATTCTTGAATGGTTTAACATTACGGCACGTGTAAAATTTATGTTTATACGAGCTGTTATAAGTAGTTAAAACCTAATATTTTTAATTATCTGTTAAAAGAACAATGTATAAATAAGATAATTCCACAAAAATCTTTTAATACAAAAAAAATCAGTGGCATGATACCAATGAATTATTTCTTTAGTAATAATGCATCGTTCAATTGGTCAGCGAAACATTTTCCCAAGGCTACAGATTGCGTGTTTGAAGGAACTACATAATCGTGATGCATTATTTATATCGAAAATACCGTGGAAAACATTTTTTTTATTGTTTCCACGACGTCGATATACATAAAGGAAATGAATGTGTCACAAGCCTAGGAGTAAGAGGAGTAGGAGTAGTAAGGACTCATTTTAGTAACCGAAGTTAGTGATGGAGTAAATTATAACCAATGATTTATAGAAAATAATAAGAATCTGCAAGTCTATAAATATGGAAAGTTTGTAAGCGTTGCAAGTTAACTTTTCCATTCACTCCAATGTTTATAATACTTTTACATTCACCACGTTCAGTTTGTATAACTATGTCTTTAAAACAATCTCATTAAACGAGAAACTACGTTCGCTATGATATTGCGTGCATTTAATAACTCAAATCAAGAATGTTCTCGAATATTACGTCAAAATATTCAGCCTTAGTCGTGATTGGGCTAATTACTAGATTATTTTCGACTACAAATCATGCTTTTAGTATTTAACCTTCAGTATTCGTACATTTTAGGATTTCCTAAATAACTTATTGTAATCCCAAAAAAAAAATCCATTCCCCAAGAAACTAAAATAGCATTTAACAAACTAAATCTTTCACGAAGGATCCGAGCTAAAAATCCCTGTTTACATTTGTAAATTAATTACCCAAGTCACAGTTCTTTGGTCTCGTTTCTCCCGGGCTAAGCGAGCTAGCTTTTTGGCCCTCGGGGGAGGGACTGGAGCAGCTACCGCCTCCATCATCACTGCCATCACCGCAAATCCTCACATCACTGACACTCGATTTCACACACTTAGTACACAAGTTGTGAAACGATTATTGAGATCAATCACTACAATAATGACAATGTCGATTAAAAAGATAAAAACCAGTAAATGCGTAATGGTGCTTATAGTTAAAAACTAAAAATTGTTGTTTACTAACGTTGAAAAGACTTTGACAAAAAAACATCGCAAAAAATAATTGTATTTTCTACGATTTCAGTCATGACATTAGAGTTTATTGTATACTATACTATAATTGTAAGTAGTTTAGGTATTAACATTTCGGAAAGTAAGGAAAGTTCTCGTCAACAACTAGTTGCAATTGTAAATCTCGTTGTGAAATTTATTATACAATTCTCACATATTAACCAAAATATTTCATTGACGCATAAAATTAAGTACATCCAGCATTATCTACAATTGACGGTTGTTTTCCGTTTAACCTCTAATCGTTTTATATCGGGTTAGCGGATGAGACCTTGGCCTTCGTGCGCCGCTGACCAAATGCGGCCTCACTGGCTCACAACTAACTGACCACATCTGTTATAGATCACCAAATGAAAGTTTCCAGTTCGAACATCGGATTTGGACAATCTTGTTTATATACAATAATGGCAAAATATAAAATAGTACTGCTAAAACATTACTAAGCATTTTTCGTTGCATATCACGGTCAGTTTTAAATAACATTTAATAACGAAATTAGGTGAGTGGAAAACAGTTTTGTTGTAAAGATGCGTGATCTACGGACCGTACGTGTGTAAGACGCGAATACCAGGAATGCAGCAATCGTAGCAATGCACGCAATGTTCTTCCGAGAATAGTGAAAAAACGCATCGCTTCCGCGCGTCTCGACATTAGTTCATATTATTACAGTTACGCTACTGATACCATAGAAGTACTCGGGAAGTCGAAGTTAAATAAACAGATGTTTACACAATACAGAATTATGACTATTGACCTTCGAAGGTATATAGATTTATTTATATTCCTCTTATATAGCTGACTAAGGATATAAACAGTGACTTATTTTATTCCAATCGCAGTCATAGTTAACAGCTAAAAACGAGATTCGACAACAAATTCAAAATTAAGTTGATCCAGAAAAGTCTTAACACGACATATTATCTCAAACAACTTCAAGTTACGTCTTACGAATTACGTCTTGAGATGATTTGTGTCTGTTCGTCATTATACTATATTCGTTAAGTCCAAAAAAAGTAATGTCGAGATTTGTTTAAAAATGATAAACACGTAACATACAAGGGCCAGTGATTAATCCGAAAAGAGAAGTATCAAATAAAGTTTGAGTCAACTTGCGATCTTCTAACCTTTTTAGTTTAGATAACAAGTTCGGTAACTTGACGTGTTTGATATGGAATCGAATTTTACTATCGCAGTCGTATCCAATTTGTTCGCGCCCTAATACGGATTAAGGCGACGGAAATGCATGCGGTTATGGTGGTGTGCGTCACGCGCATAGAATAGAAGATGGACTCCAATACGTCAACAACCTTATATCAGTAAAGACAAGATAATAAGATATCGGTTATAGCTTTGCCAAAATTGATAAAGTTAAAGTTTTTCCTCGATACTAGTGCACTCAGAGGCATCTAATGTCTACTAAGGGCCTCCCTTAGTATTAATTTAATATGAGATACATGTAATAAAAGACCTTTGGCAGCCTAAACGTTGAAGGAATAGCTTTCAGTTTATAAATTTTTTTTCTATACTTGTATTTTGTAAGAAGACTATTGTATCGATAGGCATAATAATTTCGAAGTTTTGAATAACATAAGTGATAGTTATTTCAAGGTAGTTCGCGAAATTCTTATGCAAATGCCTTCACCGCGCTAAGTGCTTATTGCATTGCACTCTTCGCAATCCTCGTAAACATACAGATATATACATATATGAAAGAAAATAAAGACATGAGAAAAAATATACACGAAACACAACTTTCTAAATAAATAACACAGTAGTTGTAAGACATTTTGCACTATATTTGTAAGGAGACAAAAAGTTTATTGTTTTTTTATTTGCAGTAACACAGGCTAATAAATAAATTTAAATTAATTATAAATAAATCAATATTACTGTAGTACAAGCACCAATACGTATTAAACACCAAATTTCAAACATATCAAAAACACTTGTTCGATTTCAGAAAAACTTTTTTTTTATTACTTTTTTATCGGAACGCGCGACACAATCACGCTATGCCGCGTCGCGGGCGATACTGGTGAGGTGTTGAACGACTTTGAAATCGCGTTTCCACCGTCTAATGGTCTTCAGAAACTAATGATACTCATTCAGCTCAAGGTCTCAGCTGCACTCGCTGAAAACTATAATGATCTAACAATCGATATCATTTGTTTTTATGAGAAAATTTGACATTTTGGTTCTTATCTTCAACGTTGAGAATTGGTCAATAATTTTAATTTATAACTTTACCTTTTTATACTAATATATGCAATATTTGACATAGTAATCCTTTAAATGTGTGTTTATTTAATTCGTCTCCGTATTTAAAAAATCTAATACAGATTAAAATTATTATTTGAATTTTCACACTAATTGAAAAGGTCACTAACCGCTAGCTGTATAATGCATTAAACCTGTTAATTATTTTTTGGTTTATTTACATTATTAATGATTTTACTTGCCATATATGTAGATAATTAATTATTAATCTTAGTAATAGTAACAAAGATGAATCGGCACGGATAGCGTGGGATGTCGATCGTATTTTGTTTAGCGTCTGCAAAGGACAACAAAGGCAACGACTATGATTAAGTTGAAAAACTAAAAACATACCGAAACTGACTTTAGAAAAGCCGTTTTTAAAAAAAAAAAAAAACGATTCGATGTCCATTTCACCTCAATTAAACTGTGGATAGAGGCCTATAAATGAGAGCATCTTCCAAGAATGCTACAGAAAGTGGGCGAAAAAACTTTCAGGCCTTGAATAGACGTCACATGTTCACGGTACGAAGAGCTAGGAATGTTAATTAGGTATTGGTTCACATGGCTGTGAACAAAAGTGCAGCGTAGTGTAACGGTTGTTTGTGGATACTTTGAGTCGCTAAAACTGTGCTGAGTGTACGGTCACCCGACGCCCACGGCGACAGCTCACCGACCGCGCTAAACTGACAATAGTATTAAAAGATTCACACTTTATTTCCGCTCGTGATAAGCAACGAGCATGTCTTAACAGATCACCTGTAATAACATACACGCACCAACATACATTATTTGTTTATGCTGATATTTAGCTAGTGCTGCCCCATAAAAAAATTGCACGCCGCTGTAAAGTTTGAAACATCCTATACATGCCTCCATTATTGTAAACCAAGTCACAATTCATCTTGATAGTATAATCTGATATCAAGGATGTCCAACTTAACGGTTGTCACCACAACTAAAATTTAAAGACATTGGTACCGTTATGGTAAAACACTCGTTTCATTATCTGAATATTTTTACTTATTAAGCGTATTCAGTTTTATTTTATTAAATGTTTAATGTACTTGAATATTTATGGTCCATATTAATTCATTTTAACGATATTAATACGTTATCAACAGAAGTTCTAGGCTAAGTCACGTTCAATGTTTGTCAAGAGCTCAATAAACAGGCAGTCGTGAGAAACTGTCAAGTGCGCATCGACGCACTTGTCAAAATATTTTGATTACTACTGTCTTGTGATTACAAGCTTTTAATGTATGAGTACCATCGAAGTAATATTTGCATATATACATTTAGTTTTGTGTGCAATGTTCAGCAACACGGGGAAATTAGGACAGCAAATTAATCTTTCTTGAGCCTAAGGCAACAATTTTAGAGAGTCAGCGGCGAGTCAAACACAAATCTATTTGAATATCTCTCTCGTCAGGAAACCAAGGCAAGTCAATGAACTGATATATCCATCTTTGGTTAATATAATTAATAATAGTGTAACGTTGTATTATCTGTGAAGTCATTAACTACAAATTCATTTAAGATATTGTATGAAATTTAATTATTTGGCGTAGAAATTGCATTTCATAGATACACATAGATTATTTTAATTTAATACTATTTGCTGTAATTTTCTATATTCCAACAAATCATCAAGAATCACAGCTATAGTTAGCGGCAACATCACTCCGTTATTCTGTGAAAGCGAGCTCATTTTCTTCAACATTAGCTACACCGTAGAATATAACTAATAATGTCAAAGCCAATATTAACGTCAGCGTAAAAACAAATGAGAGAGCAGTTTATCGTTATTTTTAATCACGCATGATACATTACAGAAAGGACAGTTCAAAACAGTACATTGCGCAGTTAAAAATAATAAAATTGAAATGTGAATGCGATCATCGTCCGTTATCTTTTTAATTATTGTCCGTGGAGCGAGCAGGCATGAATTGTCAGGCATCAGAATACACAGGAAACTGCTTTGTGCGACCACAATGCCTCGGCTCAAATACCCACCAGACCTAATAAACGTATACCATTTTACATAGAACATATTCATGTCCAACTCAAATTAACTATAGACAAAAAACTCTATTAAAGAGAAATAAAGAGTACATTTGAAATTTTTTGCTCGTTAACGTATAAAAACTGCAATATTATCTTTGAAACCAGCTCAACTCAACTCCCAAAATCAACGCCCACATATTTCGATGATTAAAATATTAGCGATTATATTTTTACACGTTGGCTGTTCTAATGGCCTCTTATCAGCGCTGTTATCGCACTATCAATTAGCGTGTGTCACTGCAGCTGGCTCATGCGTATCATAATGGAATGTCAGATTACCTCGCTCCACCTGCTTACCATAGAAACTTGGTACTTATTTAATAACAACAAAAGAACGAGATTTTTACGCAACTTGGAACGTTAATGTAGTATCGAGCATCCCTTAAAAACAAACCTAGTTACCCCTAGGCAAGCTCTTTAGCCCCAAGTTGGGAACGTATAGTGAGCTAATGACGACATAACAAGAGTCTTGCTTATTGAAAAATGCTCTTCTTTATACAAAAATCGACATCCTAAAATATTTTGTCACTTCTTAAATAAATATTGATACTCCTTCAGGTGTTCCTACAATGTGGTATTTGAAAGGAGTATTTGTATGCACTATATGTTTAAACGCTGAATGCAGTTTACGTTCCTGACTTGTACGTGCGCGAGATTAGTCCGATATCGTTTATGTAAACAAGTTTTGATCTCATAGTAATTCAAGAAGCATTTCTTCCGCAAGTAACAGTATTCATTTCTGTTCGATTGGTTACAATATTTACTGCAAATTCTTATAAATTAGTTTTAGCACCTCCCTATTAAAATGTTTCTCAACAACATTCCTTATTCATCAGTCAGCTCGGGTCCTTGTTAGAACGTAGGTATCAGCTGACATCTACTTCTATATGAGCGAAGTAGAACAAAAACAAGCAGTATTGAATGTCTTCGATAGTTTTGTGATATAATCCAAGATGTAATACGAATGTTAGATCTTACCCCTTCACTGTTCTTAGGCAGTAGATTCCTCTGCAGCTTTTGCACGGGGTATGTCTGCCGCCATCCAAACAGCCGCACCAGTTTGTCGGCCACATCCTCACATCGAGGCGCAGAGTCTTTCATTTTAAACACTTTTAACACATCACTTTAATATTTTTCACTTGTTTTACTAAACTAAAATCAAATGAATACACGATTCCCTCTTATTTAACGGTTTTGTATTGACATGTTGATCTATTTTTCTGTTTATCATGCTAAGAACGACTATTTAGGCACTAAAACAATCGACTGCAAACAAAACAGCAAATAAACAAATCGGCATTGATTAATTTTGCAGTAACAAAAACACCGTTTTGTAACATTATCCCACTTTTACAAGGAACTGAAATGTAACTTTAGCAAAACTTTAGCAAGACTACACCACAAACTAGATAAGCTTCGACTAAGACAACTGTACCGCTAGACTTGCAGTTGGAAAAAAACATACAGGCGAGGTAGCGCGATGCGGTCTCGACGGCGCTAGGGGCCGTTATCGTGTTATCTAGGCATCCCCTCTACTTCACGCTTGTACGAGCTCTATCTATAATCATTGCAAAGCGCGCACAAATTTTTCTGCAAGGCTCTTGTAAACTAATCATACGCTATAATCTTTAAAGCTAACGAGGCTGTAGGCCCTAGATAGAGATCGGCATACTCTCGAGTAAGTCAGCCACTCATCGACGACACATCGCTCCATGAGCAAATGGGACGAAGAAAGTAGTGTTAAGTTTTCTAACGAACGTAATGAATGTGAAAGGAGCAAACGTCAATAATAATATAATTAGGTACTTTCAATAAATCTGGATAATAATTCAATATACTCTGCTTATTTAAAACTAGCTGTTACTCACGACTTCAGCCGCATGAAATTAAAATAATAAATATAGTCTATGTTACTCATTATAATAGTAAAATTATTTTTGAAATCGGTCCAGTAGTTTTTGAGTTATTTCAATAAATACAAAAATCCAAATGTTTCTTCTTTATTATGTTAGTATAGATTTTTTATAGATATATAAGTATAAATTAAAATAGACAATATACATTGTAAAATAGAGTAAGTAATATGCATATCTAGTCAAAGTACACAGAGTACTTGTGTACTGAGACATTAATAATTGCAGTTGATATACCGCGCCATATTAAACTTTCCCTTTTTTAATTTCATTACAGCCCGTATGTGTAATACAACACGCATGGAGTGAAGTGATTTTGAACTATACATTAATATAAAATAAGCAAGATTTTCGATCAGGTTACAAAAGCTAAATTCAGGGATTTACAGAGAAATTTACACATTACAAGAAAAATATGTTTTGGATAAAAAAAATAATGGATTAAGCTACAAATTAAATTCTACGTCTAATAATATTTTTTTATGAATAAGGTATCTGAATTGTTAAATATCTGCAAACACATTGTACAGGTCTTCACATTATAATGCGATGGGCTGAGCCCTTACTATTGTCTCAACACCTATCCACCTATCTTATTCAATTCATCCATAATTCATAAAAGAATACCAACATAACATCGGCGGGTTTGCATAATGCACCGATCTGCGTGTAATGAATGTTCTCGTTCTTTTTCTGTTGTAAATCTTTGAACAATTGGTAATTTAATGCTCGGTTTCTACATTGCATGTGGTCGGAGCCATTGTCAACGGTGGAGGACAACCGAGCCCTGGAACGTGGGAGTTTTTTAACATGCTGTATAAACTTTTCTCGTTCAATAATTTGCATTCACTTGGTTTAAAGTTTTAACAATAGTATGGCTAAGTAATAGTATAGGTAAAAATTTATTTGAACTTAACAAATCGTGTAAATTTTCAAATACCCTATTTTAAAGACTTCAAAACTGGTCAAGTGAGATGGTTTTATAATTACATCAAAAGATTAAAATTGTTACATAGTATTGTGGTAATTTGTATGTAACTTTAACTCCCAGAATCATTATTGTGTAACAATCTGATAACATTTTTCACAACCATTTTTATTACTCTGTGTCAAATGTACTTGTCGTCTTTATGTATTTAAACGATCAGGGATGTAAAAACAGCTCCGTCTTATTGAGGCTGATTTCTAACTAAACATCTAAATTTCTAGAACAATATCAAAGTAAAGCTACTAATAAAAATTTGTAGAAAAAAATCATATCTTTGTTTCGAACAGACTTTTATTTTCATGAATCATGAATAACCTTTGTTCTCAGCAACCTTATTAAATGTATAGAATCATTTCAACGCAGGTCATAAAAAGGTCATTCAATTACAAACTATAGCATTGTTAGTTCAAAACAAAACACAAGTACAAAAATAACTACGAATGTACCGACGTGAAATGTTCAATTTTTTTATAATCATCATTGAAGACTCAGGTGTGATTTAGGAAATTTTTAAACAAGAACTGAAATAGTAACTATCCTCTTTGTGTTTGTAATATTACAATTAATTGAACATTATCGCTCGTTGCGTTATTTTGTATAATCGGCTAAGGAACTCGGGCTGGCGTGCAGTCACGCTACACTGGATAGGCTAAAATCGAATTCCACACCAAGGCTAAATACACCGAATTTAAAAAACCTGACATTCAAAATTCGAATGTCATTTTTTTAATGATTGCGACGAATTTTTCTAATCACGCTCGTGAGTACCACGTAACGTGGGGCTACCACATCGCAATCGCCTTCACCGGTACAATATACAGCAGAGGGGATCGTGCAACCTTTCTGCACAATGCAAATACCTAGCTGGCAGACCGCGTAACTCGAGACTTTTGAACCTCGCTAACACTGTCGACGTCATCAAATAAACTGCCACTGTTAAATAGATAACGTTTTCACTTATGAGTTTTTCATTGCACACAATGTTATAACAAAAACGTCACCAATTACAAAGGATGTAAACAAACCGGAGGCTGCACGGCGGGCGACTGGCTCGACTTTCTGCGCGTGCGCCGGCCGCGGGGCGGTGTGCGGGGGGCCACTCGGCCGCACTCGCCCCGCACACCGCGCCCCTCGCGACCTGGCCATTGAGCTCACCTCACATGCCGAGCAAATAATCATAACACCTGTACTACCTTAAGTATGATTCAAATATTTTATACACCTTCAAGCTTACTTTATGGCCAAGTACTAAGTCAGTTACTTTATTCTTCAAATATGCAACTAACGGGTAAGATAACAAGCACCGTTTTAAATTAAAATGCACTCGAATCAATTAATTTTTCCAATCAGAACCCGAAAAGAGGCGTTATTAAATTCAAACTGTCTACATTTTTTATTATTTTAAGCGCTCGAAAGAGGGGTATGTGGTTATTATTAAGTACTGCTTAAGGCAGAAGAAAGGTAAACGGAAATAATAAATTACATGAGTAATACCAAATAAGTCGGTACGTTGTAATTGTAATGTTTCCCAGGGGTGCGGTGGCGCGGGTCAACGCGCGAGGGTGGCGGAGCGAGACCGTCGTGGCCGGTGCACCCAACCGGCTACGGAGCGCCCAGTTGTAAGTCAAAATTAATAAATTATTAATTAAAACAGCGGATTTCCACTATTCAAACACTTGTAACTTGTGTAAAAGGGATGTTTCTGACTCATGTTTTTTTGGACTAGATTTACCTAAAAATTGCATTAGTCAATTTTAGTAAAATACGTAAAAGCAGACATATTGAATATTTTTTTCAAATACGACAAAATATCAGATAAAGCCATCTCCTACAAGAATCGAATAGCAATTTTAGCCTTACATTCTTTCATGAAACCTGCTAACAAACTAACATCCTGATGACATTCTTTATTACATAAATAATTACAGTAACAATAGATTTGTTTTTAAAATAGATACGTTTACATGTAATTCCATTATATAAGGTATGTAACCGACGAATCATGAACGGCGCAAGTTTGTGTTTGCCTAGGAGAATTGTTACGAGTGTTTTCCCATACATGTCGTTTATTATGATTAATTAAAAGTTGAAACACAATATAAGAAATGTATCCTATAATGTTATCATTGTTGGTTAATTAGAATGTTAACAGCGCCATCTATCCAGGCTATGAGATACTAAGAATACATTACAAGATTAATTTGTTACATCTCAAATACGTATTTGTTTTATATGAGACGAAATAGAATAAAAAAAATATATCAGTAAACAATTATTATTTCTTTGTTTGAAAATACACCTTTTTATACCTTTCTTCTTATTGTTCAGATTCTTAAAAGGCGGCTTAATTTTTTGTTTTATCGTAAAGCTTCTGTGTAAAAATTAAACTTAAAAATATCTTAACCAAGCAAGACGAAACAAATAAAATACAGACTGCGGGACAAATTAATAATATTAAAAATAAAAGTTGTGGAGAATTATTTTAGATTCCTCAAGATAGATGTCGCTGTACGTAGATTAAGTAACATCAACATTAGTGAAAATAAAATTGCCGTAAACCAAGGAGAGGACAAATACTATAGGTGTACACAATAACAAGACACTTTACCTTACTTGTACCTTAGTTGGATTACATTAAACAGCTCCATATAAAATATCAATTTTATTCAAAATTTTAATAGTTAAAATTTTTATTTTGGTAGGATTTTTTTTTTGTTTTCGTTGATTTATCATCACAACATCTAAAAACTATTAATGAAATTATAAAAAAAAATATACTTAGGGTTATTATTTTGTCGATAAAGTAGCATCGATTTAATAAGCTTTCGTCATAGATACAGCCTAAGTTGCGTGCTTACTTAAGTCAAAGTATCGAGGCTAAAACTTTCAGCAATATATATAAATGTATGCTTATAAACGAGTAACTACAATTAATTATATTTATTAAATTATAATGTATCGTAATCAACCTTTCATACCGACTTCCCAATAAAGGAGGTTATCAATTCGTCTGGTTATTTTAATGTGCGTAAGTATTACTTTCCTTTTTTCAAATTTATCTTACTAACGTGTAAATTGTTTTATTATTTCTTTTTAATCTGGTCCAATTTACGAAAAAAAAGTTACATGTTAAAACCTTAAGATGGACTTTGTGAGTTATTTGCACCAATTTGCATAAATCTCAATGTATTTAGTAGCATTTAGAATCATTAAATTATTCCTAATACAAAGTTTAAGTTAATAGTATTGTTTACATCTACGCGGACTTCGTGTCCACATATTCCTTAAATTTTAGTTTTCCTGTTATTTGATTAATCGGTTAAAGGAATGTATAAATATTAATTATTTGTTTACTATTTAAATGTTCTCAAAGGCAGAAATCACAGGAAGCCAACTAAATACATTTTCTATACGATCTAGTAGTAAGCTCTATTATAGGATTACTTAGCGTGGGCCAGCAAACCATCTAATCAGCGTTGTCCAAGCCATAATAAATTTTGTTTAATAGGTATAAGAGTTTAAATTGAATGTCCTTGATTGTCAATTAATGTAAGAGCTTTATCGTCGATGGTAGTTCGTCGTTTTATCGATCTCTCATGGGTATTTCACGCTCACTTGATATTTACATAAACTGCTGTACAACGCTCAAAACTGGATCTGAATGTGTAACAAAGTTCATTGACATATAATCACCTCATCAATTCTAAGGTTGTTCACCGTTCAAAAAATATTCTTACCTAATATGAGTGACAATTTTTGAAGGAATAAGAAAAATGTTTTACTTAATTTATTTTTTATTCAAACGTCAACCCAACTAAAAAGACTGGCAACGTAGGCTTAAGATTAGAATTCCTATATAGGCATTAGGTATTTAGGATGGCATAGTTTATTAATTTTATTCCGTGATCTATAAAGTGGAATTAGCCACGACGCGTTACTACGTACCTAATGCAATTTAGAAATTGAATTTCTAGGTTATGTTTTCCCAGCATAACAATAGCATATAAAAACTATTGTAATGTCGATCGCATCATTTTACCTGCGTGATTTTAAATGATCGAGATCTGGGAATTAATGGAACATAGCGTAAAATTGACAGAATATTCTAAGACTGACCTAATAGCACTAAACATTAGAACTGCCACACTCAGAGACATCATCCTTAGTAAACGCTAAAGAGCTCAAGTGCGATATCATTGCTTCAATCGATACACTAACATAATCGACTCAACAATGTTTGTCTTCTGTTTGATTTTGCTATTTGATCAGTGGTACGTCGATCCTTTTTATCAACAGTTTACTTCGGGAAAGTGTTAATAACATTATTCGAATTACTTTCCAGTCAACTTCATATTGGGAAACGATTCAAAATCTAATCTCTTTTACGATATTATAGGCGTTAATCGATAAAATAGGAAATGAGTCAGGAAATCCCTGCTCTAAAACCCTGAAGTGCCTTCGTTAGCGCAGGAAACCTGCGTTTGTGCGGAAAGTGGGTAATTGTAGTGTCGGTCAGAGAGCGAGGTATGTTTCAGGTGAGTAGCCAGGCGCGGCAGAGGGTGACGCGCGTGAGAAAACGAGAGTGATATGCATATGTAAGCCTTTGTTGTCAGTATATCTTTATATTATTTATTGCTTTTAGTTCTTGTAATAAGATCAAGTTGCCTTAGTAATACAGTAGTACAATGATTCCATTATTAAAGCGCAAAAGACTTCTTGTTTACATACAAACATTTTTTTACAATTAATTTTAGAGATAAAAACATAAATATTCAAGATAAATTAACTATGTAGGTTATCGTACATATTAGGATTTATTTTTGGTACTTATTGTGGCTTAACACTGACCTAAGCGGGTCACCTGCCGCGGAATGATAACACATTACAGTAATCAATATTCCGCCCGCATTCCGCATACACAACTAGTGTGTACGTGCCTTTATCTACGAAAAAAATGCCTCTTTTTGACTCGCATGTACAAGTCAGCGAATACTTATTCAGTTATTTTTAAAATAAAATCATGTATTAACGTTACTACATAAAAAAACATCAAACAGTATATTATTTTTTAAATTTTCTACGTAATACACAATACATTTAAAAGAGAAGTAATTTTGGTATTTTATTAAATTAGCAATTACACACTTTTTGATAGCCAATATCATTAATTTTTTATTTAACATAAATAAACAAACCGACAATAAAACTCAAAGTCAAGAAGTAACATCCCTAACTGCATGTACCGCAGGGAATTTTAACAATAGGATCACGTGGCAGGTATGCAGGCTCGATGTTTTCAATCCGTGTCCTCGTACCTGGCCGGGACTCGCTTTGTTCCACGCGGAAACATGTTAAAAGCCCACAATATTACATTACCTCGTATATAAACAAAACGTATGCGACGTGTTCACTGAACGCTAACTGCAGTATTGTTTAAAGCCTTGTTAATGCACAACTCTCACGAACGACTAACCCTAATAGGGTTCAGTGGTGGGAAGTTGACTGGATCCTTTCAAGCAATTTTAAAAGAAAATGATGTTTTATACTCTTATATTTTTAATATCATATTGCTGCAAGTTAAAGAGGCTAAATGTTAGTCCCTATTCCTTACAACTTTCTTAACAGAAAAGAATGGAAAGGAAAAGTGGATTTGACGGCGGAGGAGACGCATAGGAAGAGGAATATCTTGTATATTGCGTTTCCTCTTCCGTCGATTAAAGGTAGGCAACGCATCTGCATTGGCAGACATCTATGGGCAGCGGTCGCTTCGCCATTACGCCGAATTCAGGTGGCCGCTTGCTTGTTGGCCACCTTATAAAATAAAAAAAATACGTAAACAACATGTCCTCCCCGAGAATATTCTTCTATCTGAATTTGTTGATAATGTTAAATAAATAAATATTCATCTTTTGCTACAGATGTTAATTCATTGATCCATAAGCCACTTGTATCCGTTATATAACAGTTTTCATTTACATTCTCACTATATGTTAAACAAAAAATAGTGTAATACGCTATTATTATTGTATCTATGCATTGCAACT